CTGCCGACGAGAAGAGGAAGAGAGTGGCAAAAGAGTACTTGGAGAAAATTCGGGAAATTGCTAGGAGAGAAAAACAGAGGGAGGATGAAGAGAAAGATGAGGACGAAAGTGGTGGGGAAGGCGAAAGAGATTCACTTGTTGCACAGATTCTTCAGCAAGAGCAACTTGAAGATAGCGGAAGGGTTCGGAGAGAAATCGCATCGAGGTACTGTTATCTCTTGGTTCGGTTTTCATTGGAATTGCAGTTTACATTTTTTTTATTGTGTTTTTTTTTTCCAAATTCAAAGCAGCACTTCATATTTCTCTCGTTCCCCCCTTTTTTACTATCTTTTCTCCAGTTTGAATTCTCTTAAATACTGCAATAGGTCTTTATTTTTATGTTCATATAACGTTTAGAGTTTCTTTAAGAGTCGAGCTATATGTCTGAAATAATGGTGGGACATCAGGCACATTCTTGTGCAATATCTTCCTGAATAAAGGCGAAGGAGTTTACATGTTAACCTTTTGATATATGGCTAATATTCCCTCGTGTGTTCTCTTTCTTCACTTATGTTTGTGATGTTGTTTATAAAGAAGCATGGAAAATATATTCCTATGATATACTTGTTTCCTGCACCCCAGTGTGTGAGGGGAAAAAAGATGGGGAGAGAGATAGCATGTGAAAAACGACTTAAAAATATTCTATGATGGGTGCTTGGCGGCGTTAATGATTCTGCACCTTTCAGGGTTCAGAAGCCAGAAGCTAGAGATGAATTTCAAATCTTGATCAAGCACAGACAGAGTGTTACAGCTGTGGCTCTATCCGATGATGATTTGAAGGGGTTTTCATCGTCTAAGGATGGTACCATCTTACATTGGGATGTAGATAGTGGGAAAGGGGAAAAATACCAATGGCCTAGTGATGAAGTATTGAGATTGCATGGTGCTAAGGACCCACAAGGTCGGGCTACAAAGCATAGTAAAGTCATTTTGTCACTGGCAGTTAGTTCTGATGGTCGATATTTGGCAAGTGGAGGCTTAGACCGCCATGTGCATATATGGGATACTCGTACAAGAGAGCATGTTCAGGTAATTCTTATTTTATAGTTATAGTTTATTGTTACAAGGCATGATTGAAGATGCTCGAGTTTAAATCTAAACCAAAAATAATTTGGGTTGGGTTTTTGACAAATTGATGAACTTTTTTGTAATTTTTCTGAATTTTTATATTCTATTCAATTGGTCCCACAACCACAAAAAGATCGGAAAAAATGACAAAAAAGAAAGGATGGTAGCTATCGTAATCTTCTCTAAGTCATTTTATTGTGGCTTCCTACAGGCATTTCCTGGTCATAGAGGACCTGTTTCTTGTTTGAAATTCAGGCAAGGGACCTCAGAACTCTTTTCTGGTTCATATGATAGAACTGTCAAGATATGGAATGTAGAGGACAGAGCTTATATAAATACACTCTTTGGTCACCAAAGTGATGTGTTGACTATTGATTGCCTCCGGAAAGAAAGACTGCTTACTGTTGGACGTGACCGGAGTATGCAATTATGGAAGGTAGACCTCTCATTTGTTGCTTTCAGTTTTTAATGATTCTCTCAAAGACTTGCCGTTTGTTGCTAATTTAAATCACTGCAGCATGCTTGTGTTTTTGTATAACTGCAGATATTCCTATTTCCCTTTCATTAGTTTGACTAATTATTCCTTTTTATGGTTTGAAACAGGTTCCAGAGGAGTCCCGTTTAGTATTTCGTGCACCTGCATCATCCTTGGAATGTTGCTGTTTCATTAGTAATGATGAGTTCTTATCTGGATCAGATGACGGCAGTATTGAGCTCTGGACTGTATTGAAAAAGAAGCCTGTTCATATTGTACGGAATGCTCACCCTCTTTCATTTTCTTGCACGAATTTGGAGCTAAAGGATAATGGAGCCATCCCCAATGGTTGTATGGGTATGATCAAGAACTCCATATATTCTTCTCTTCTATCATTCTGAAAATCATCACTGTACAGGAGAGAGAGAGTTGATGCTTTTTTAAAGTTTTTAATGTTGCCACTAATGCACAGATGACAGATAAATTGATAATGGTCACTTTCGTCTTTGTATTTTCTCACTTTTCCATTAAAAGCAATAAAAAATGAAAAGGTTATTCCAGTTAGAAAAAAGCATCTAATGATTTCCTTGTGCCAATTATTATTCAATGGTGAATTTTGTCTTCTTTTCAGGAAATGGGGGTGTCAATTCTAATACTTCTCATAGTTTGTCAGCATACTCTTGGGTAAGTTCAGTCTCAGTATGTACAAACAGTGATCTTGCTGCATCGGGTGCTGGAAACGGTTCCGTTCGTTTATGGGCTACCGCAAGTGATAAAAAAGATATTCGACCTTTATATGACCTTCCTCTGGTATGCAAGATTTATGTGTTTGTTTTATGTTACTAGTTTAGTTCTGTCTCTTCTAATTCAACTGTCTGAATGGGGGCATGTATTGCAACAACTACATTCTATGTATATTATTTTTGTTATTTCAGGTTGGGTTTGTGAACTCCTTGACTTTTGCCAAATCTGGAAGGTTTCTGGTAGCTGGAGTTGGGCAGGTAATCAGGATACAAATTATGCTTTAAGCCTGTTTAATTATTTTTGTGGTAGAAGCAGCATATTACAACTATTGGTCTATATTTATATGAAAGTATTTTTTTTAAAAATGATTTCTCATTTATATTTGAGAAGTTACAATGATATAAAGTAAAAGGACCCCCTCTAGGATTGCACATAATAAAAACTACAAGGAAGTCCCCCAATTATGTTTTATTACGTTAGGAGAATTGTTATAAAAAGTAGTGGATAAGGCACACCAAGAAGTAATGTTATATGTAGCAGTATCCGTCCACTCATTCCACTCTAAAGATTTTTTCAAAGATTCTTTGATTTTTTCCGAACCAAATTTCCCAAAAGATTGATTCAATGGCTTAGAAGGAATGAGTTCAATTCATGATGGTCACCTACTTAGGATTAAATATCCTACCAGGGTTAGTGGTTTGCGGTTGTCCTATGAGATTAATGAGGTGCGTGCAAACTAACTTATACATTCACACACACAAAAGATTCAATTGCATTCACCCATGTCAACTTGGCTTTGGATCTTCATTTCAGTTAAAAGATTCAATTGGAATTGTTTCTTATCTAAAAAAAAAAAGTAGTCTTTGGAACATTTGTCAAACACTCAAATGAAGCTTCGAAATGATGGAGGAACAATACTATAAGGACAATGAAAAGTATCCTCTGGTAAATGTTATAGGTTCAAATTCCCACCACCCAAAAAAGACTTGAAAATATTTTATGCAAGGCTCTGGAATTTGATAGTTGAAGTTCTGCCTTTCCTCCAATTGGCATCCTCTTGCTAAGAACTAACGAATATTACAGAAAGATCTTATAAAAAGAGTGGTAGAATAACAAACTCTTCAATGAGATGACATCCAATATTTATTAATTTAAATATAATGTTGGAAGCATGTTATCTAAATGCGAAAAATACATGTTGTAGAATTTCTTTCAGATTCTAACAAGGGTGTTACTGCTGGCCAAAAAATAGATCATCAGAAGAAATTGATTTTCTTGGGAGCTTTCTTCTTCGGATAGATTTTTTAAATCCAAGTTAGAAGGATAATTGAGAATTTCTCATTAAGCTCGTGAAAGAGGAACCTGTTTGTGTAATTTTCTGAGGTTCCAGCTTCCAAACCCCATGATCTTCATGGTGAGACCGAAACCATCTAAGATTGATTGTGGGAAGTTCGTTCTGTTTCTGCATTGCTAAGGACTCTTCTAAGATAAAAATCCTGCTACTGGTTTCGTAGTTCCAACAAGTCTCAGACTGTAGCACTAACAGTCTCGATTGAATCATCATTTGCAGTCTAGAAAACAGCATGGGAAAAGGGGGGTTGTTTCGTTGATCCTCTAAAAATTCATACCCTCACCATTCGTACCTTGAATCTGGAAATAGAGGAAATATTTTTTTTTTGACTAGGATGAAACCTCCAGGCAGTTCTTGCACATTAGTATCCCGACAGTGTAGATTGAATCAACCAGCAGGGTTTTCCCATACTTGGTGGAAATAGTTCTGTCATAAATGCATTAATTTTCAGACGAAACTTCTACAGCCATTTGGAAAGGAAAGCGAGTTGCATTTAAAGTAAATTTCCGATTACCCATCTCCATCCTCTTTCCTACTGTTAACAAGCAGTTTTCTCCTCCACCAAATAAACCCTCTTCATCTCTAGTACCTCTGTCCATTTGGAAATTCCTTCAGGCTGTGTCACCGATCTTAGCCGGAATCTTGAAGATAGTAACAAGTAGGCTAGTTTGAGAAAATAGAATTGATTGAAGTAGGAGTAGAAGTGAAGCACTTCTGTATTTGTCAAATAAAAACTAAAAAAAAATTCTCTCTTAGCCTTCAGTGGAAAATTCTTTTTGTTACAATCTTAACTCTTAAACCATGTTTTGGCATCATGTTGATTTTTGGATCATATCTAGATTGCTGGCTAGATTCACTTCTCTTATTCTATATATTCTGTATATTCTGTTCTTCTATTTTCTTGGTTTTGTTTCTTGGGCAAGAAAAGTTGTCAGACAGTTGTCTTCTCCTGACACAAGTTTGGTACATTTGCTATACTGAGAGCGTAAGGCTTGCTCGGTGCTGACACCATAAGTTAACTTCATGACAGGAACCTCGTCTAGGAAGGTGGGGGCGAATCCCGGCTGCTCGAAATGGAGTTGCAGTTCATCCCCTTAAACTCTCATGAGACTGAACTGAATAGTTCTATACCCTATCCAATTTTGACTTCTCAGAGTTCTAAAGTGAAATTGAAAGAGTTCACCCCCCTCCCATCTGTATTTACTTATTTATGTATTTTTTTTCACCCACCTACCTAACTTTTACCACCTTTTGGCCATAGAGACGATAGTCAGATTAGAGCATTCATATTTCTTACTGAAAAGGGTGAGTTTGCAAGCTATTCGGCATAAACTACTCAACAGAAATTTTCCATCTGAGGGGAGAGATGAATTGCAAAGATAGATTCTGTTTATAATCACATGGGCTATCCAGAAATTCCCTGTTGTGATGTACCTTTTGGGCAGTTCATTTTCTACTGTTTCCAATTAAGTTGGTGTACTGAGTTTCAGTGGTCAAATTCATCACTTGTACATCACAAACTGGAGACAATCTTCAATGTACCTCTTTTATTTCGTGATTTTCAAGGAAAAATAAATGATCAATTCATGGAACATTGATATCATGACGATGATAAAGGCCATGGACAACTGTGTAGGTTTATTTGGTTTATGGTTATTATGATTATGATATTGCCTTCAAAAAAGCAAATTATTTGTTGAATAACAATTGTTTATAAGGTGATAAATTTAGAGATCGTTGTGGTTAACTTGAAGATGACTGATGTTCCCAATTTACGAAAGTTTATTACCTAATTCCTGTTCAAAAAGCTGTTCTATCAATCATTTCCTATAAAACTTGAAATAACAATGGTAACAATAATGAAAAAATTTTAACAAAATAAAATTTAATGATAAGATCGTGTAGCCAAGCTTGCTTACTTTAATTTTGTCGTTCTTGATCTCTATTCACATTTGCTTAAGTAATTAGTTGATGTACGAAGGTTGTTGAAAGATTTTATGAACCATACCAAAAAATTGAGTGACATTTTTTAATGTATACAATTGTAAGATTATTTCAAGACAAATAGGTCTAAAGATATGTTTAAACAAGTAAAGATTGCACAATACATTAGGCACACAGTCAAATCTTTTCCTAATAATAATATTAACATTAATTTCTTATAGAAATCTAAATTTGAGCTAATAAAAATACACCACCTCGGGTATGAAAAAAATTATTTTTCATAGTAATATTACAGTTCACATTTTTGGATACCCAAAAAACAGAAAAAACCTAAACCCTATTTTAACAATTTCATTTATAATTTTCTATTTTTAAAAATTATGTTCATCTCCTTCATATTTCTTTAATATATTTTCAAAAATTCATTTAAAATTTTAGTCAAATTTTTAAAAGCGAAACAAGTTTTTGAATTTTTTTTTGGGTAAATAAATTATAAAGATATTGATAACAAGAGAATAATACCCAAGAGTGGAAGTAACAATTGTAAACTTAATTTTCAAAAATAGAAATTAAAAACAAAATGGTCATCAACCGCCCTAACAATTCCATTCTCTTACCAAACAATATTTTGGCATTTGTTAATACAAAATTAAATGTCTTTTCTATTTTCTGGGTCTTTTGTCTTTTAAATTCTAATTAACCTAATTCGTATTTCAATTTTGCTAATTTTCTAACCTATTTCCCAAAAGAGTCTCCCGAAAGGTCGTAACAAGCGCAAAACCTAGAGGGCAAAATGGTAAAACAGAAAAGAACTACGAGCGAGGCCGAGGACATCTCTCCGGCGTACTCTGATTGGCTGCCCTCGCTTCCTGCAACTGTTCGTACATCGCGTCCTTGTCGTCGCCGCCGCCGCCGCCGCCGTTGGCGGCTGAGTCAGAGATACAGCGACGGACTCCTTGTCCTCCGTACACGTTCAGAGCCATAGGAACGCCACCATTAATGCTCCCGCTGCTGGTCAGATTCCGAGACGAGGAGCAAGCAGAAGCACTGCCACCGAGGCCGGAGACGTAGAACGGAGTCGCCGGCTGAATGGCACTGTCGTTGATTACCATGGCGTAGTCTCTCACAGAAACAGGGAGGCGCCAGGGGGAGGCCGGAGTGGAGCTCTCCCCGCCGCCGCCGGCAGCGTCACCGACCACCACGCTACTCGTCGGCGTCGGAGTGGAGCTCCTCACACTTCCACAAACTGAACATCTGTTCAGAATCTAAGATGAAAGAACAGAAACCAAATGAAATTATATAAAAAAGAACTGAAGCATTTCAAAACAAAAGAAGGAATTATATGGATACCGATGAAGCGGCGGACCGGTAGGTGGTGCCGTCGGGGTGGACGATCCAGCCGGCCTCCTTGGCGAGCTCACGGAGGACTTCATTGATATCAGCTCTTGGGGAGAGGCGGTAGCCGCCGTGCTTTCTAAGGCCATGGAAGATATTAGTGGTGATGGCTCGTCTTTGCCGTTCTCTCATCTTTGTCTTCTCTTTCTCAGTCTCACTTCTCACTCCTCCGCCGCCGACAGAACCCGACCCGACTCTTTTTCCGGCCGACCCACCTCCACAAACTTCAACTTCAACTCCTTCCTTCATCTCTCTCTCTCTGTTCTAAAGATGTGATTTTGGGAATTTGGTTTGATTTTGTACTTGAAAGGAAGAGAGGGAAGTATCAGGGTGTGGTGATGGGGATCGGACGGTTGAGGAGAGGAGAAGGGAGAGGGAAATGTACGGTGGTGATTGAGGGGAAAAGTAGGTGATTTTCCATATTTCGTAGTTTTGTTGTGTTCTTTTTCTGCATGACAGAGAAGGTCGTGAGAATCGTAGTTTGCTCACAATGAATTTGCATGTGGAAGAGAGGGTGGGAGTCACGTGCCAGGAGGAAGGATTTTTTGGTTACTTGTCAGCTAGTCAAACAAAACCACCCTTTTGGTCTCAGTTACCAGCACAAGTATTTCAAAAGTTTCCTTAGCTACTTTCATCCCTTTCTAACTTTGTTATACATCTATTTAATCTTGTCCTTATGACCTTAGAACGAAATCTATTCTATTTGATCGTTAACAGAATGTTGATGTAGCATGTCTAATAGATAAATTTACGAAAAAAAATACCTGAAGACATGTCGCATCAACATTTTTTTATAATGATATCAGTGATAATCTAAATTCCATAAGCATAACACTAAATAGACACTTAAAAGACCACGTCCCGATCTCTTGAAACTCCCATTTTGGCATGACTGAATTCCATAAGTGAAAAAAACACTCATATTACTACTAGGGCTAATCTCTAAAGCAGTGTCTCACTGTTTCATATGCGCATTTTCCTCTGCAATGTCACCTATCTTTCCGTGTATTGATTTGATTATTTAGCAAAATACTACGTGTTAGAAGCTAGAAAACTTGGAGCATCTACAATCACAGTATTCCTTTCCAACTCACTACTGACTTACACCTATTTCACTCATTTCTTAAAACCTATTTGACCTGCATAAATATCACCCAGAGGCCAGAAGTGACTAATCCTAGCTGGACATTAAAAAAATCCCTCTCATCTAATTGGGTGTCATGTGAAGATGCAGGATATTTGGCAGTAAGAAAAGTGGTTATCAACCTCATGTTCATTTTCAGAATCTCCATTTAGATTCCCAGTTGTCATATGCGTCGAATTGTCAACTATAAAATGACTGGTCTCTAATGACGAAAAAAGGTAATGGCATTAAAAGAATGGCTAGCTACCAAAAGGATATGAAAACTAATTATTATAGCAACCACAAGTGATAGAAGAGTAGCTGTCCTAGATTAGGTTTCTGATTTCATAATAAGAATATGTATGCTGGTAAAATATAGGGGCAATAGAAGCTAGAATGAATTAAGATAGCAAATGAGAAACTGAGCGGAGGGCAAATGTGCTTTTATCTATATTTCATCAGGACTTCTCATAATGATACTACTCTGTGTACATCAATTTACTTGGAACACCAGTATTGAGGTAAAATGTGAAGGTAACAACACAATATAAACAAATTTGTCCAAATTAGACTTCGTACCTAGTTAATAATGACAACATGATTGAAACAACTCTGGAAAATGATGTATCTACGTTTTTTGATTCCCATTGTGGTATCAGGTACGATAACTTGGAGTCATACTTTCTGTCGTTACTGAGGCATTTCAAGGTCTGGTCTCCTGTCAAGAGCTTCACTCGTTGACTCATCTGGAAATGCATCAGGGTAAGTAGCCAAAATTCTTGATTTCATGCTCCTGACAGTAAAAGAAAATGGATAAACTAAAAAAAGAACTAAAGGATAAAGCAATATATACTCAGTTGATAGGTTTTGTCAACAGAAGCATATATAAAATGTTAAATGATGAAATCAGATCAATAAAATATATCAGTTATGACTTCCAGGTGAGATAAAATTTCAAAAGTTCCTCGCAGTGAAATAAAGTGCAAGCAAAGAGCAGAGAGAATGTAAGGAATCCTCTTTTTGACTCGGACGCTCCCGGTGGCCGACCAGTAGGTCTTTTGGGCATTCGGATATGGACTGCAGTACAGTATAACTATATTTTCTTAGGACAGACCATCTTAGATACAAGAGCATTCCATCAGAGATGAAATTCTAAGCAACCCCCTTCGGAACCAATGCCTTCAAGAAGGGTTTCTGGACACCAAAAAGACAGAGATCCTTGCAAGATGGAAGAAAGTACCATACTTGCGCAGTTGAATAATTGTCTCCACGAATGCCCCCTTTTTCCCTTTTTCCCTTTTCTTTCGGGTTCTAGATGAAAGATACCATACATTTCAACGAAAAAAACTTATATTTTGACATGGTAGCACAGTAGCATCACTCATGTATCACACAAGTTGGAATAGAACAGCTTGAACTGAAAGAGTTGATCAACATACCTAATTTTCTGAAATATGTAATCAAGGTCAGATTTCATAGACTTTAAAAGACGAGTATTTCTAGATAGATCTCCAGACACCTCAGCAAAGCAATGCTCCGAAAACTCGTTAAAATGAGAGAGGACTGCGTTGCTATCCTGCAATCTCCCCAATCTGCAATAAACGACTCAAACAAATGATTCATAGTAATCACAACACTTGAACATTCTTCAAATTATCAAAAGAAATACCAAATACTTCGACGATCAAGTCGGTTAAGAGGCTCAATTTGGATCATAATCCGTCAAATTTGTCCTCAAATACGCAACGCAGAGAGAAAGAGAGCTTACATGAGGTGCTGCAAATGGTTGAGAGAACTCAAATCATCAGTGCTCATCAAAGTTTTGAACTCACGAGAGAGCTCCTCCGAGGCTGCTCTTATCGACTCCTCCTCCGCCCGCTGCTCCATCGTCTTCCACCGATCTCAACTGTGATGCCATCGGTTCCGGAGATTGTGCTATCAATTGGACCGCGTTAGGCTTGAGTTTGGGCCCAAAAAAATTTGGGCTTTGAACTACTCAATCTCGTCCAATCCGATATTCTGGCCCATAGTTCAATAACAACAGGGCCACTCCCATTTCATTCGGCCTAATTTATATATTCTTATGAAAATTACATATATATATTTTACATCTCTTAGGAATGTGGGAATAGTATGCCCTAACGGTCCAATAATTATTTTTAAAAAATTAAAATTGTTTTTTTTTTCAAAATCAAACTATTAATATGTGTTTTATTAATTGAGCTAAGCTATTTGAGCATAGTCAAACGATTAATATTTGAGATGATAATATGTGTCTTACTATTGAGCTAAGCTCAGATTGACACGTGCAAATATTGTTATTAAATTTCTAGGCACATCTAAATTGATGGAATTGATTTTTTCCCCTCCTATAAAATTGAGAATAGTTAGTCCGGTGGATGGTAGATTATTTTGGTTGATAATGATTTTTTAGTAGAGATTCGAACATATAAAAAGTTACTTATATCATCTCCAAGTTATTTTTTTTACCCCATTAGAAAATTGTGAATGAGATAAGATAACGAAAACATGAGAAATGATTTATCTACAACTAGAAAGTATAACAACGTTTATGGAAAGTAACATTTACATATAACGGTCATCTCTTTTAGATCTGATTTTAGTTTGTCAAATTTTACCAATTTGTTGTTAAGGCCTCTACATTTATGACTCTAATTTAACCCTTTTTACCTAATTAACGTTCATATTTGATAATTGCTATTAGAAAGCTAACTTATTAAGTTCCATAATAAAATAGTGGTTTCAAAACTGCTTAGAGATTGAAAAAAAATTCAGAAATTTTAGGGACACGATAAAAAATAAAACAAATTCCAATTTTTATTATTTTTTTTATACAAAAACAAATTCCAAGATTAAACCATATTTTAACCATACTTTAATTAGACTATTTAGAGCCACTGATGAAATGAGCTAATTCTAGTTTAAAAGCATCAAATTGAGGCCATGAAAAGTGTAAACAAAATAAGCATACCAACAAACAAGCATTTGACCAAAACAAAACCACAATGCATATGAAAGTTTATCTTCAGATCCTGCAAATTACATTCACATCTACTGTTCTTTTCGTCTCGATGGATAACTATATAACTTAGTAGATAAATAACCCGATCTAACCGCATTTTACCTGGTCACATAAAAGACCAGTTTACAAACATGAAAGCTAGACAATGATGAACATCATCATCATTCAAAACTTTCCAAGCAATTGCCTGTTCATATGACACCGGCCTGCCCATGCTCGAGACGCATATCCCAGCTGGAAGATATATGAATCCCTGCATAATGTTTCAACACCATTAGATTTATGTACTTAGAGTCTCACAAACCGGTCGACCGATAGCATTTGCAACGTTAAAATGAAGTCACCAGCATGCGAAGTTTGATAGAAACTAGAAATCAACCTGTTGCATTATCTTGGAGAACTCGGAGCACAGTATTTTCCGACCAGCATCGTCAAGGATCTTGTCGAGCATGATATCTTGAAGAGCGACGAGGGTAGTTTCAAGCATGTCGAGTCCAGCTTGGTTTGCAAATGTGAACACGGGAGATGCCTGCAAAGTTCATGTGTCGGTTATAGAACCAAGCAAAATCGTGTCAATCATAGCGAGGCAGAGAGTAGTTTTTTAAGTCGTGAATCAGAAGAGATGAAGATATTTCGTATTACATTAGTTTTGACAGAGCAGCATAAAATTGTATCTGAATGGTGCCAAAGCTGCTTCAAGATAGCATCATCAGACTGGGACTCAACTTGAAAGAGCTCTGCCCCTGTGTGGATCCTGAAATTCAACATATGTGAGAAGGGGAACTGAAGAAGGAAAATACAGGAGCTGGGAGACTAAGGGCACGAAACTTAAAGAGATATTGCGCACGGTTTAGTCGATTCTTTGCTTAATTTCTTGGACATTTACAATGTACAACAAACTGATACATTTAGACCACAAATGTAAATAGTTAAGACAGGAAGCCACACCTGTAGCTCCGGCAGATCCACTGGGCCAAGGTAAGAGCCTCCGGGGAGCCGGGAAGGCTTTTTGGACCAATTTGGGAGCCAAGCTGCGAGGGGGAGATAGCCATGGCAACCCTTTGAACTGATCCCACCACGGTTCGCACGTATTGTCTTGCCATAGCAGCCACGCTATCCCGCATGTGGTTCTCAAAAGTGAATTGGAATGCAATTGTCAAGACTGACCTGAGGTTATAATTTGTAACGTCAGTTTCACTGCCTGGACGGGCAGTGCCAGGTCGGACTTCTAGAGTAGACGCCAAATCCAACGTACGAGTTGCAGCAGGTGCATCCTATGGCAGTCAAAAATGAAGTTGAACACCCAAAACAAAGATTGTTGAAGAAGATGAAAGGTAACATATAAGAAAGAAACATTAGTGCAAAAAGTAATTTCTTTTGGTTTGAAGTTATAAAGTAGCCTTTAAAGGTATAGTTCACTATTTATCCCATACGAATTGTGAATTATTCGTCGAAATCATAGTATATTAAAGGAAAGTCACAAACTGTTTTGGATTCCAATGGTATGACACGAAAACCAGATGGTAGCAAGGGAGCATCATCAGCAAACGATTCATCTATAGGTGCAAATACAAGCTGAGCACATGAACCAACTGCATTTTCATCAATCCCACTACACAACTGCCAAAGAAGGGTTTGATCAAAGATTGTCAATGGGCAGCAAAGACGTCATGAAAGAGAACTCCTAAGTAGATGATGTTAAACTAACCTGCAATAAGTACATATCTCGTCCAGCCAAAGCAGCTTCTTCAGGGAACATAGCATGGCCCTCTAACCGAACCACCTCCAAGAACTACACAAAAATGACATGGTAAAGAAAATATAAGGAACAAAGGTTTCTGATAAAACAAAAGGTGTTATTACCTCCTCATTCTCAACGGTATGGGCGAGTGGCAAGATGACCTGGCCACTCGAGAAGCCACCGGGTCTTGCACAGGGAACGGCATATGCACTGGCTTTAAGACATGTGGCAGAGTACGCATCAACTCCATAATCAGCCCATTCTGAACGGTGCTCCCGCAAGAAACGAACAAGTAAAGCAGGGGGGACATTCTGAACCACATGATCAGTTGAAAGGTCCATATTCATGATCAAATAATGAACAAGATAAGGGTGGGACAAAAATGATTAGATGGGAATTTTAAAGGAGGTGATAGAGTACCTGCAGCAACATTGATGCCTTGGCACACAACACACCTCCGAAAGTAGGATACAATGACGTGTTGTATTGCAAACCGAGGAATTTGTTTGGAGATGAATTAATAACGACTGTTACATCCTCTACTCCATCGCTATCCATAAGTGACCAACCATCATCCACAAATCCATTTACTGCATCATTGAAACCCCTAAAATCCATTTCCATAAAGTATAAGTGACTTGAGAAACTAATGTATCTAAGACATGAAAATGTGCATTGTTAAAAAATAATTGGTATCTCAAGAAAAGAAACACCAACAACTACTAACAAAAATCTCAAAATATATATATATATATATATATATTTCAGATTGTGGGACATATATTTTTTATAATGGGCTATGGGGCCACATTCCTTGTATTATGCTCATTCCCCTCTAACTAATCTTGAAGAAGCTTCATCCACCTTAAGATTAGATTCGGGAGACAACAAGGATTTTAAATTATTGAAAGGTTTGAATCCAGAATGGCTGGAGGTATCTCCAAACATCTAAGTCCTTACTCCAACACCAAATTACCTGCAAAGCCTTTGACTGAAGGTCCTTAAAACAGCTGGTTGGCGACCCCCGCCTAATTGAATTTCTCCACTCGCCTCTTGAGAAATTTGGCGTACATAGCGTAAGGCCTGTTGAATAAATTTTAGCTCAATATTTGTGAACGTATATGACACAAAGAAAGGATGAACTAACCAAAAACTTACAGCAACAGTCATTCTCTGAGCTAGAATCTTTGTTGATTCATAAAGTGGCCTCAGAACTTCAGGAACACTCCAAGCCTGGCAGTGAAAAAGACTTTTTAAGATACAGAGGGATATAGAATGATTGATTATTGATTTGACAATGTGAGAAAACAGCATACTCACATCTAAATCAACATGATCAACAATGTGAATAAGGGAACCACCCTCACACGCTCGAATAAGATACCCGCTTGGAAGCATTTCGGCTCTTACGAAACTGGATGGAGGAGGTCCTGAAGGGCCACCTGTAGACGACGTCAATGATCTCTCACATATCTGTAGTCATATTATAAAAAACAAATCACTATTGATATATTAATATTAGGTTTTAAGTACGATTGCCCATTTGATAACCATTTTATTTTTTATTTTCTGTTATTAAAAATCAAACTAATAAACATTGCTTCCACCTATATGTTTGTTTGTTTTATTATCTACTTTTTTTTCTTTTTCTTTTTTTTTTTACTTAAAAACTGAAAAAAGGTAGTTTTTAAAATCTCAATTTTGCTTTTGAAATTTGGCAAAGAATTAAAAAATGTTTATAAGAAAGTGAACAACATACCACAAGGCTGCCATCTTCCAAGCTTGTAGTGTATCGGAGAGTCCAAAAGTCACGTGCTGCTGCTAAAGTTGTAGGTGCATATGTCTGGTTTGGAAAGCATGAAGGTTATATAAGATAACAAAAACTGATCTTAAAACAAAATGACAGAGCATACCTGCATATATAAGAGTTCTATAGTCCCCCCATTTCCTGTAGAGATTACACTTAATATGTCGACACAACGACAGTCACGAAACCATGAAAGACGATCTTTAAGAATTTCGGCCACCTACAATAAATGTGATAGGAATGCTATTAGGATAGAAGTAGAAATATTATTAGGGTATTAAGGTTATATTAGTAATTAGTTAAGAAAGTTGTTAGAGGGAGTGAGATGAAATGAAGGTAAATAATTGTTTAGTGTGGTTTAGGCTTGAGTAAGAATACTCAAGAGTGGGGAGGGACCAAGTATCTTGAATTACTTGGGAGCTATGGTAGTTCTTCTATCTTTCATATTTCAATATTATTCTAGTTGTTTGGGTTGTATCAAAATTTACATTATTGGCATACATGCAAATACGCTTAGAAAAGAATACAAAATAGATGTCCATAGTATGATCCAAAGTACCTTTGTAGGCTCAAGACTCACTAAACCACAGGCTCGTGCCGCTACCCCATTGCAGTTGCGGGAAACAGCAACAATCCCAATAGAATCCGGACCAGGCTTCATAAGAAGATATAAAGAAATCATTACTTTTGAACAGATATAGACGAATACCGCTGAAGCACTCCCTAGAACATCCAACCATGTATCAGTCATGAATGATTCTGAGACGTACCTTCATCCCAATCATTTGGACCCAGTCGACAGCAGTTCCTGTTGCCTTGGAGAGGAACTCTGCCAAGGTCTCCTCAGCTATCGCAAGAAGACTATCGACAGAGGCAACAGGCATAAAAATCGGTGAGACCGAGTAAAAATCTATACTCCAAATAAAAGAAGTCATAACAAAATGATTTTTAGGAGGTGAACATACCCAGCTGGGTTATTAGCATCCTTTTGGGTATGCTTAGTTGGGTTTTGCTGTTGATGGTGTTGACCACTCATGACCACGGACTCACAGCTATTGTCCGTGGTTGTTCCAGATGCCTGACAAATAAATGCCACACGATTCATGGAAACTCATAAAATCAAGAATCAGTAGGACATTTGCACTGTGATTTTAGATAAAATTTCCTCAAGGAGAGGAAACCAAATCGAGCAGAGTACTGGAGCAGATATTGAACTTTTGAAATTCTCTTAGAGGACCAACCAATAAGGATATGGTCCGATTGGTAATCAAACCAAGATCATGAAAAATTCAATTTTAAGAGTTGAAGAAGCAAACAAGTTCATATGGAAACATGATAAAATATGGAGAAATGGAGCAGTTTAAATGAGATTAACATGATAAAGTATGGAAGTTTGTCAACCAGGATACCGTTGGAAATTTCTTAAATGAATTTTGTCATCCCGATCCAGACAATAAAATTCAACTCAATTCTGTACTGTTCAAGTTTTGTTCCTCTACCCAATTGAGTTCTGTTGAGTGAATTCCATTAAATTTTAAATGGTTCGAAACAGAAATGAAGAAGCTTAAAGGAACTCACAGTATGCAGTTGCTGTTTCATGTATCCGTTGTCGTAGACCAAGCGAGAGACCTGCTTCTGCAGACGGTCATTCTCTTCCATCAACAACTTGTTCATTGCAGTCAGCTTCCTATTTACTGTTTGAAGACGAGAGGCTTCCTTCCGTTGCTTTTCACGACATCTAACATAATAAACATTGATTTATACAGAAAAAAAGATACATATATCAGACTTTAGATGCTCATTGTCTCATTTTCAGTATAATATATAATAATTCTAGTCTGGCAGATATCTTGCTTTTTTGTTTGGGAATATAAAAAGGGAGGAAATGATTCCTTCTTGCTTAGTCAAATTGGTGACAAATATAAATAAATAAGTAGGATGAAGCTTCATTCAAATTCAACAATTGGAGACGAGATGCTGAGACAGTATCTAAAGATCATTATTTGTAATAGACAAATGTGTAAATATTTCCCCCGCGAAGAGGGTAGAAGTAATCATGGTTATAAAACTTTGAAACAGGGTTACATTCTGAAGGAGCAGGTTTTTATAACGCCAAATAAAAGCAGGCTCGTTTTGTAACTGGAACAAAGGCCAAAGCAGAATAATTCAAGTTCCAGCAGACAAAAACTGCGAACGATAATAGTAGACAACCAAATGCTGCAGCTTTCAACTAAATTTATGAACTTCTTTTTCTTCTTTGCCATAGATTCGAAAAGATTTGAAATCTTAAAAGGCTCTTTAAAGTTCAAACCAACTAAACTTTGTTAATTAATAAGGGATTGAATAACCACAACACTGAAAATGATACTTCAACCAGCTTAGAAAAAATTGCTGAACCTAAAGATGGAAGACAAAGTCTCATTTGCCACTTGGGTAAATGTCTACAAGTGCAAACAAAATGAAGTTTTCCGAGGCATATGACCAAAGAAAATCCATTATATTCTTCCCACCAAATGGAAAATTTAACCCTCAAGGAAATGGAAAAAAATAAAGTCATAACTCATAAGTAGAAAGTCAATAATAGCAAATTTCAAAAAGTTTAACTAGTATCAAAACCATCAGCGTACGAGATGATAAAGAAAATCCATTGAAAAATTTCCATGTCAAGAAAGTTCATCAAGGCTTGATAAAGTCAGATTATCTTTCAACCAGATACAACACTGTGGGAAAATACTTGACATTCTTCCAAACCACACAAATATATCGTAGCTAAACTTGTCTAAGAAAAACATTTTCCTCCTTGTCAAAAAAAAGAAAAACATTTTCCTCAAACCCCCAAAACAGAAGCGGCAAATAGCAGAGCATATGGTGGGGAGCTGAAGTGCACTACAAGATTTCCCAAAACAGAATGCAAGAAAAGTAAATCATACGAAGTCAAAAATGAAAGAGACAAAATAATTAGAAAACAAAGCTTCTCTGCACGCCTACAATAGAAAGCGTCCATGCCAAGTATTTTTTAACAGAGAAACTGAAAGCAATTTTTTAAAAAGAAATCAGATGACAAGCAAACTAGAAAAAGAAAAGGTATATGAAATTTGAAAAAGACAGCTTTTATTTTAATAATCAATAAATATATCCTTTTCCTAAATATAGAGAATCAAAAGGATACCTACTAAAGCAGATACATTTCTTGTATACAATCGACAAGATCTAAAAAGTTAGATATAAACTGAAAGAGGGTGATAACATCTCGACAAGAATGTACACAATTAGCCCTGCAAAGCTAAACCCAGATACCAATTATTTTTATCTTGAAGGTAAAAGCGATTCAGTCCCAAATTTTAAAGGAAAACGGAGGACAAATATGTTAAGAGAACAGAGAGAACAAGAATGGTAGAAAAATCCTTCCAGTTCTTCAACTTTCACTTCCTTGACCAGAAATTCCAAGACAAAGAACTGGAAGAAGAAAAATTCCATTTCCAAATTTCTTATACCTACGATTCTGGAACCAAACTTTGATCTGCTTCGGCTCAATATTAGAGAGGATGGGACACTCCCGAATGAGCTGCTGCCTCCTCAACGAACTGGGCTTTGGGCATTCTGCGTATACCCTCTCCAAGGCGTCCACTTGCTCAGGCGTGTATCTCACATACTTACTCGTATCCATCTGCTTATTCAAGGAATCTCTATGAATGGCAAGAGCCATAAATTCCTCTTTCCCCCTTCAGCCTAAAAACCCAAACTCTGAATTAAGCAAAGGAAAAACAAAAGCAAGGGCGACCCAGAGAGTAATTTCAAGTGATATTCAACTAAAAACCTTGTTTGCTTTCACTGTGTCTTCTGATCTCGCGGTTTTAGCAAAAGGGTTGAGTGGGTTCTTCTTGTTCTTCGTCTTTGTTGAATTGGTGGTGGAGCTTGTTGTTTCTGTTATCAGGCAGGCTCTCCCCGAGAGAGCCTCCTCTCTCCATCAGATAGTTGAGTGAGTGAGTGGTCTCTCTGTGCTGCTGCTGCTCAAAGGACCCAAAAGAAATGGAGAGGAGAATTAGGATTTTGAGAGGCCTGAAGTCTTAATCGCAGACGCCAATCTCGAGGATTTCTAAGAAAGGGGGAGAGAAAAAGGGGGAAAATCAAATCAACCCACGGAAAAAAGGTTGAGGAAGAGGAAAGAGATGGAGAGGGGGAGGGGGGGAATTTGTGTTTTTGTGTGTTGTGGGCTTGTACGTGACAGAGAAAAGTAACAGAAAAAACAAACAGCTAATGGCAAACGAAAGGCCAGGTGGGCGATGCCCCAATTCAACTCTTTTCCCCCCCTTTTTTTCCTTTTTCTTTTGGGTTTCAGAAGAGAGAAAAGGAGGAAAAAAAAAGAGGGAAGCTTTCCCCAACTGTGATGTGAAAATTCAGAAAGAAAACAGAAAATGAAGCTAAAGGGAAAGGGAAAGGAAAGGAAAGAGAAAAAAGAATGGAGGGAGTAAATGGGAGCAGGCTCAGGCTCAACACAAGTGTGGCTGATAAATGATAAAATCTGTTTTTATAATTTTTTGAAAAAAGTTGCAGAGGAAGGATTTGCCTGCTTATCTTCTGTCTCTCTTGCTAAAAAGATACCGTGCTGTACAGCTTGTTTCAGCGCCACATTTATCTCTCTCTCTCCCCTACTAGAGGTGGAGCAAAATATTCACAAGATTGAATTTTTATTTTCCAAACTTTGTGTCTGTAATCTTTATAGTTTTACTAACACGAATATAGCTTACTGTTGAAACTCTTTGACAACGTAAAATTTAAAAAAAAAAAAAATTTGTACTCCCTCTCTAATTAATATGCTTTTCTTTTATTCACTTTATTTGTTCATATTCTAGTGTCCTACACTAAATGTAGTAGAACCACGTAAACGTCCAGGGATGGGTATCTTTTTACTTCCTCTAACAAATACTCAAGTTTCAAATTCAATTTTGGAAGTTTGGAAAACTATAAACATTGGTGTATGCCATTTTTTAAATCTAAGATAAGTCTAAGGACAGGTAATTGCACCCTTCCTTCCTCCTTGACTTTATCCCATCCATTTCTGTCGATTAGTTTCTCTCTTGAATAATATTTAGATGCTTGTCAATAAATAAATAAGTATTGTTCTACTTATCATCATTAAAAATTTGACGAATATTTATTATATTTTCTCTCAAAAATATATACCGAATTTAACGCACCTAAATATTATTCTTCTCACGTCTCTTTCTCTCTCGTTGGATAGTGTTTAAGAGCGATATGGGAGTATGGATGATGCATGCATAATATTGATGAAGGATGGATGGAATATAATATAAAATAAAAATATATAATATAGTGTATGAGAAGCGTGAAGACATGGAAATGGGACAAGGCAATCATTTGCTTCTTTTAAGGTAGTGCTTCATTCATTTCGCAGCCACAACACCATTACTCTCTTCCCTCTTCTTACTTTTTTTTTTCTTTTTCCTTTTTTCATTATTTTCTTTCTTTTACTATTTCCACCCCAAAAAAAGCACACAACTTTCATCCAAAATTTTAAACCCCATCTGTTTTGCTTCATTTGTTACATGTATTTTCTTCTCTCCTCATTTTCGCTTTAATTTTATTATATCAATGAATAAAGATGTACTTTTTTTTTTTAGCAAAAATGAGAAAGTATGAGTGAGATATATTTTCTTTAAACAAAATGAGAAAAGAAATATGTTTGAGGTTGATTTTAGTAAATTTAAATATTTGAAAATGGATTTTTTCAAGCATATAACTCAGTTCGAGAATATGAATGGATGTGGTTAAAAATAGCCATGTCACGTGGAGAACAATGGAAATTCAAAAGACCAGGTCTTTCCCGAATATTTGGAAGTAGTGGTTGTCCTTCGGACTCAGCCATGAACTGTCACTAGGGAACATTCTCGCTCGACTTCGACCTTTTGTGGCTGACAGACTGACTTATATGTGGCTTTTTTTTTATAAGAATAACCAGTGGTTGGAAAGTTCTATCGGATTCTTACTCTATCATTAGATCGAGAGTCTCATTCTGACATAAGGTACTCAATCTAATCTCGAAAAAAGAAAAAAAACGGGCGAAAGAATTCAACTAATAAACCCACTGATCTAAAAGAGAAGGGTCATAGTATGCATTGATACTCTTAAATTAAAATTATAATTTATATTGAAAACTAAATAGCTCCAATTATCCAATGAGTTTGGACACAAATGGAAAACGAAGTTTATTGTTTACTCCTAAACTATGTATTTTACTGCCTTAAAGTTCAAATTTAAACATACATTGATCTTTTTATTTTGATCAAGATATTACAAAGCTAACATTAATTAAAATGTAATATGTTGCAGCAATTTATTTTCAAACTTACAAAAATAAGATTCAAGAATTAGAAATATATAAAAAATATTTTATTTTATTAAATTTGTAAATGAATAAAAATTCAATATATATATATATATTGTTATATATATTTGTTGATGCAAAAATCTGTCCAAATATCCTAGAGCGACCTGCACTAGGCCCTAGTGAGCTGTGTTGAGAGGACGAGCTGATTCAAAGTGAGCTAGAAGAGAAGACATGCAAAAACAGGTAAAACACTTCGATGTTCAAGTTAGTTTAGAGTACGAGTTGGCCAGGTCAACATCAGATAGATTCTTATACCTGATTGGCTGGAATGTGGGTATATTTATAGTGGACAAATTGGTAATTTCATGTCCGATCAGTCTAGTTCACTATTCCGAGGTTAGGTGAGGCCTGCTAGGGGTTATACTAATGATTGGACTAATTGCAGTGTCGTAGCTTGCTCTTGTTGCCTGAGGATCTCGTGCCGACCTGTTAGTTTGGGATGTGTCTTTTCCTGGTGAGACAGCTCGACCTTCTGCATAGTTGACATCACACCTTCCCAATATAAATAAAAATAAATAAATATATATATATATAATTTTTTTTAGTAACAATTTAATTCTATAGTCCTTGTACTTTCAAATAGGTAACAATTATTAATCCCTATAGATTAAATTTGTAACAATTTAGTCCCTAGTGTAAAAAAATCTTATCAAAATTATGTACCGATTTTTATCATATAATAATTAGTCTTTGTAATTTCTCAATACATTTGATCTCTCATCGGTTTAGCAATGTACTTATATAAGAAATTTAGCAAAAATTTTCATGGACTAAATTGTCACAAACTTCAAACTACAGAGACTATAAATCATAACAAAAATTAAACTACAGAGACTCTATTATTATTACCTATTTGGAATTACATGTACTAAATCGTTACAAATTAACACCAAAAGTATTTCTTTAACCAATTTTTTTAAAATGAGATTCACAAGTTTTCCTTTCAATGTCACAAATTAAATTTAATTGTAAAGTTACTATTTAAATTAACGTTCAAATTTTCTTCCTAAAAAATAAATTATCATTATTATTTTAATGAAGTTAGTGTCTCTTACCATTTTTATTTTAGCACGCAATTTGATAAAATTTGTTCACGTTTGAAAGTAAATTAATGTTTATGGATTTGTTTGTCTTGTTGTCTCTCTTTTTTTTTTATGTAAATAAATAAACAAGTTCCGTTGTATAACAATTAACAATGGATTAGGGCTTATATCTTACTTTCAAGTTTGGTAGCATCATATTAATGCAATTATGAGTGATTTTTTTTTTCTAACTCCATGATTTATTTTGTTACATTTTCTTCATATATAACTGTCGTCAAAAGCTTTGTATTATTTTTGAAAAAGAAAAACTTGAATGTAAGGAGTTGCAATGACTTGTAGTACTTACGAATTAAAAATGTTATTATAATGCAATTTTTAAGAGTTCAATTTTATTAGTTAATAATATTATAGGGATGAAAATTCTATCTAAACGAAATTTTATAAAGATAAATAAAAATCAGGAGCGAGTGAAGAATCAAGGATAAAGAGTGCATAACAACTCTCTCTTAATTGATCGAGACGAGATCAGGTTAAGTTCTCAATTATTTGTAAGTAAGATAGACGAAGAGATAATTTCTTATCCACTATAATAATAATTTTTTTTACACCCTACACATAAAATGAATAAAATAATAACTTATTTAGAAATGTGATGTGTTCAAGAGAAGAGAAGCTTAAAATTTACATTTTTATGACATTTACGTGAATAAAAACAAATATATATATCTTTAAATTTGAATTTAGTTGGTGTGATAAGAAACAAAGTAAGTCGAGAATTTTAACATTAACAATATGGTAAACTAAAAGCATTAAAATTAAAATTTTGACCGTGTTTTATATGACACTCGTTTTACTTGTGATTATGTGTATAAATTAGCTTAATTATTAAGAACATTTTATGGGTTTTTAAATCTATATTCAAAACATAGATTTAATAATCATATAATTGACCCCAAAACCTCAAATAGAAAATAAACCAATTGTAAATTCAATTTTAGAGGCAGTTAACTTCCAACATTACATTGGCTTTTAATCATTATATTAGGTAAACATATATACATGTAGGTGATGGGTAAAAAATTAGTTAGGGATATAGAGTTGTTAATTTGTGTACTAAGGAAATAACACTAAAATTTACCTCTCTTTCGCTCTCTTCTCCAATAATATGAATAGATAATTACACATAATTCCCATTAAGAAGAATCTTCAAACACTTCTATCTCCAAATTAATTAACCACCATTATTCATAAAACCTAGCTAACATATATAGGCTAATAATATGGTATAGAGAATGAAAATCATCATATTTCTCAAAATCTATGTCGTGTGGCTTAAGTCGGTAGATTCCTATAATTAGAATTCGTTACCTGGACTAAGTAACATTGTGACTAGTGAAAGACTCGAACACAACACAATCTCATGGTAGGTGATGCCACAAGGCCTCATATCTTTGCCACTGCGGCATCAGGAGACAACTACTTCTATATCAGTCAAAACAAAAAATCTCGATAACACTCCCTTCTCACACATCGATAATTACAAATCTAACCTTACCATCTAACATAATTTTTGGTAGAGAGGTCATAATTTGAATTATGTAATGTCAACCATATTAACATAAAGTCTGCTACTTTTTGGCTTATTGCAATTAGAAGAGATGAATAAAGACTTCTCTCTCTCTTTCTCAAATGCTAGTTTTTGGACAAAATGGAGCTTTTTGAGTTGATGAATAATATCTCTACATGAAGCAAACATGTGCAGACTCATTATGAAAAGAACAGTAAACGTATCCAAATTAAATCTTGTAATGAGAGCTAATTAAGTTGTAAACCACATTTATTACTTATTAATAACACAAATGTTGTTCATTAGGATTTCAGGTCAACTTATTTCTATTCTCTATTGCTCTAGAGCTAAATTCATATAATAACATACTTTTTTTTTTTTGCTTGATTTTCTTAAAAGAAAGTTATTTATCACATTAATAAAAATGATTTTACTTTATAACCCTGGTCCCAAAATTCACTTTAAACGCGTACATCCAATTTCAT